AGAGGCTGAGAAGGGTGTAAATGGGTAGCGTGTTAAAGAATGAAGTCTTATGACTTTAAAACAATTATCTGCACTTACAGGAATTACAATAATTGCTATGTGGACAGTATGCTGGTAATTCTGTTTCAAAACAGGATTTAGAGTCATTAACACTAATATTAGGAAATATCCACATCTCTATCCTTTAATTGCACATATTCTCAAGCTTCCAATCTTTATAGAAATCATAGTATTAAAATAAAGTAAGGCATACAAGTGAATCGTACAGCTATAGCTAACAAGATAGTACATTGGATGAGGAGAGAATACATATGTAGAGAAAGAGGGTGTAGTAAATCAATTAAATGATTAAGTATGGGAGAAGAAGGATTGAGATGGAAGCGATATGTGAATAATGGCAGGTAGAGATCAATAGTAACCCAAGAATGAATTTGGATATGTGAAATCGGAACCATATGGAGGGGATTAAGAAGAAAATTGTAGTCAGTAGGAGAGGAGCAAAAATGTTGATAGCATGGGAGAGAGTATAAAGAAGTATAGAATACTTAATGGGACATTGGTGGGTGAAAGAATGAAAGAGCTCTACATTTTATTCACCCACTGTTGTGTTTTCTGTGGTCATATAAAAGTGCTTTTCTATGCAAGCAGGAACTTTCTACAGTACTTTGGTCAGTAGTTTAGTTCATACTGTGTGATTGGCAGTTGCTGTCCTTTAACGAGTAATGGCTTTTTACTTTGGCCATTGTCAGACACAGTTTGAGACATTCTTTCCCTAACAATAACAGAGTGTCTATACTAGATTTAGCTGGAATTCTACATGATATGGATATGCAACTCGCATTATTATTATTGCCATTTATATAGCGCCAACAGATTCCGTAGCGCTTTACAATATTATGAGAGGGGGGATTTAACTATAAATAGGACTATTACTTGAAAACTTACAGGAACGATAGGTTGAAGAGGACCCTGCTCAAACGAGCTTACAGTCTGTAGCATGAGCAATGTTGCTGCAATTTGAAGGATTCAAAGGATGAAAAAGAACACACTGAGGTGTAATGTTTTTAATTAAGGCAATTTCCTGTGCTGTGTTATTGCAAATACAATTACAAATATCTGCAATTCTAATGCAACAATGGTTTCCTGGATTCTACAGTATTCACTTTGTGAAACAGTGTATGTAAGAGGGAAACCTGTTACAAATCTGATTTTTAGACTTGGCCTTTCTTTTTGGGAGACAGCTTGCTACAATAAAACACTGTTCGCATAATATCGTAGCTTAGGTATGTGTATATTGGTTTGGAATGTTGTCTTTCACTGACAATTCATTTATACATTTTATGAGAAAAAATGTATGTATATAAATAATATGCCAAAATACCAGAGTATTGCAGTATGCAATTATACCTTTTTTATTATACTAAGATAATGTTTCAAAGGCAAGCTTTCAAGTGTTTTCCTGTCTTCCTCAGGTCTGAAGCAATACTAATCAATCTGATAGAGTTTAACACTTAAAACAACTGATGTTATAAAAGGGGGGGTAAGTGGGGGCACTTCTTCTGCTATTTATGACACCCCACTAAACTCCCCTCCATCCCCTTCTCTAACATGAGTTGTTTTAAGTGTTACACTAAGTGTAGCTTTAGACTTGAGGAAGAGAGGAAAACTTTCAAAAGCTTGTCTTTGCAATATTATGTTAGTCCAATAAAAAAGGTATCATTGTATGCTGCAATACTCTGGCATCTTGTATTCTGGACTAATACGGCTAATCCAATTTACGCTATTTGTAATTATATATATATATATATATATATATATATATATATATATTAAACATAACAAATCACTAGTGTCAATACATGAAATTGTGAACAGAATTAAAACAGAATCTGCAAGTTGGTAAATTAGCAGAGTTGGAAGCAATTCAGTAGCCCTGCGATATTGTCAGCATAGCTATTTTGGCCTAAATTCATAAATTTGGTTGCAGTTCATGTTAATTAAGATATAGACCCATGTGTCTCAATACAGTTTTACACATGAACAGAAAAGAAACCAAAGCAGGAAGAATTGTGATGTGCTATTTCTATTCCCACATGCAAATTCTATTCTTAAATTGTATTTTTTTGGCCACAGTACAGATATTGATAAACAACTATTTTACTTAAATTTTATATGAGGATTATAAATAAGTATTTCTTTCTATAACTTTAGTCATTTATTACGTACATGTGCCTAGACTTTGTACCAATTGCATAGGATTTGCGGGAGCTACAGTCCACCCCATTGTGAACCTATAATTTGTCCTCAGGAATTATGTGCAATATGAGAATGTTTTGAACTAGCCATATGGCTCTCATTCCTACTGAAATACACAGTGGAACAAAAGGAGTAATGTTTATGAAAGCACCCTGCAGCCTTAAGGTGATAGTGTCTGTAAAACCGGTTCTGATAAATGTAAGCAGCTGTTTTTCCTGTTAAATCCGGGTTGAGAAAAACACCTTTGACTTGACAATCATTGTATCACAGTGTATTGCAAAATGCAGGCCAATATATTACAAATGGAAATATACTCCAGCTATATCTATATTCACATTTGGCCGATTTGACGCAAAACCTTACAAATTAGATTTTCTCTTGTATTGTTTAGTCAATCAGTACAAAGCATTGCCAAGACATGAAAGGGCTGAAAAGGGATTAATTAAAAAGGCAAGCCTCAGCATGATATGGAAAGGGGTGGAGGAAAGCATTGACCCTTTATGTACCGTAGACAAAAATAGTTACATAAGAGAATGGCTGTCATAAGATTTCAAGACTACAGACTCGCACAAATATGTTTTCACAAAGCGCTACATTTCCATCTTTGCTGCCACTTTATTTCAGCTGATTTTGTTTCTGACCTGTCTTCAAATTATTTGTTTAGATTTTCTTATATTTTTCATTGTAATTAATAAACAGGTTTATTAAACAAAATATTGCTAATTTCCTCAACCCAGATCACTTATTTGCAATCTGTATTTCATAAAGAATTCGATAGGTAAATTGCAGATGCATTAGGAATTGATACATTGAATCATTTTTGCTCTGTTCAGAAAAACATATTCTGTTCTAATCTACGTTGCTACAGTATACAATGTCTCTGATTTCACATAAAAAAATAAACTGTGGATTAAAACACACATTTTGTACCATTGATCCTTAATTCCATAGCATATCATGGAGTCTAGAGCTATTTCTTAGTTGCACAAACTATTTTCTCCATTTAAAAAAATAAAAATAAATTGCATTTCAGAAGGAAGGCAATCATTTTATAGTTATGCATTTCTTTTTATGTTTGCAGCTACAGAGACACAAATTGATTATCCCTTTGCCCATTCCCCTCTTTCCCTGGGTCTTAGTTTCTTTGCCATTTCTTTGGTCATACATTCTCCTCTTTCCCTGGGTCTTCGTTTTAATGCCATTTATTGGTACTGGTAATCTATTTCTTTGCTCCCAAATTATTTCAGCAACCATGCCCAGCGGTTCCCATTACCTGCTGTCCTCTGTAGACTGTGCCATTTCTTGCTTGTCTGGTGATGCTCTGTTGATGCCTGTGCTAGAAACCTTCTGAGTCACTATATTTTCCTTCTACCATATGATGTCACAAGTGACACATTTGGAGGCATGTCCCTTGTTAACCAATGGGAAGGTTTTCTATTGAAGACACATCTAAAATCCTGAAAAGGGGTGTGACACATATTTACTGTTGCTATAGAGGCAACATCTTATGTTCACAGGGAAGGAACTGAATGTGTGCTCCAATATTTAAATCAAGCTAAGGAATGAATGTGTGTAGAACTGTATTGATCTACCTACTAAACTATAAGTGTGCAGGCATATTTATTGAAAAGCAAAAACAAGTCACTGTTAATGGTCAGAATTCCTTAGAGTAATGATTTGTTTTGTAAGGAGCGTTTCATTTATTTTTACAACTGGTCTTTGTGAAAATAGTTTTATCCTCTTCAGCATTTATGCACACATCTTGTTCACAGGGTGAGTGTCAATGTAAGAAAAATATATTGACAGTTTCAACTAAGCAGAACAAAGGCACACATTTATTGTATGTAGATGCCCCAGGGTATGTCACGTAGGGCAGTTAAACATTTTCTGTGGATTCATTTTACTGCCTCGTTCTTCCACAATTTATTATAATATTTATATTTTTGTGTTACATTGTACGTGCGTCAATGTAGGAACGTGATCTAGTTAATTATGGACAGAATATCTTGCTAGGAATGCGGTTGTAGTTCTTTTCACTTAATAAATTCATGATTGTCATGCAATGATTACAACATTGCTAGACTTTGAAGTTTGCACTTGAGTTTTATAATGTTCTTTCTTGTAGCTGTTGAGCCTTTGCAAATCAAGAGGAAAATTTGTAAAATGCCTGAAAATAATGCATCATAATATTATTATCCAGTGAGATGTACATTCTAGTGACAATGCTTCATAAACGTGAAGGTGTTTGTCACCATTTCAAAATCTTTATACTGAAGGCCACCATTTTGACTACCTTTGCATAATTAGTTCTCCCTGTTAGATAACTCTGAGAAAGGTAAGGTGACTTGCTCATGCCATGGTTTTAGACCCAGAAACTAGGTTGACTCTGTATTTAAGCTTTTCTCTTCAATCAAAAGATTGCTATGTATGTGTATTCAAAATTGCATTGTTTTCTATCCTATCACAATACTTCTAAATAGTGTTATGAAAAGTGCTAATAAAAAAACAACAAAAATAAAAACCGCAAACAGCCTGGTCACTTAAAACCCTTTATTGTCGGGGTTGATCACCTTAAGCATGGGGTGGGTAGGGCCAATCATTCCAGGCCCAACACCTTCAGGGAACCCACACTGTATTCCACAGGTGGTACTACGACTACTATGTGTTTATCTCTGGAAACCCTGTTATTGTTGTGAGACCTGGATCATGCCAAAGAGTGTTGACAGACATTCTTGGGATCTCTTGTCAACAGTGAGAGACAGCTGTGTGCACCAGAAAACACATACCTCCCACATCAGCCACTGGACCACCAAAGGGTGGATACTTTTAAATATTTGATATAATTGCATTTTTATTTCATGAGCTGTTAGAGTGTCAGTTGTATGTCATCTGTCACAGCAGCTGTTAAGGAAAGCAACTCCCACCATGCTCATTCAAACACTGATATACACATGCACACAGATTGTCTTACAGGGTTATCCCCTCAGAGGGACACTTCAGGCACTATAATAACTTTATTGGAATAAACTTGTTATGGTGCCAGAAGGACCCTGGCACCAGCTTTCCTGAAGGTAAGCCGGCACCAGGGACCTACTGTCACAATAATAACTTCATTCAAATTAAATTGTTATGGTACCAGGAGTGCCACTTTAAGTGGAAATTCAGTGTGAACTTTAGGCCCCAGTGGGAATTTACTCCAAGTAAGCTATGTTTTCAGTTCTGCAATGTTGGCATTATATGTGAAATTCACTTTACATTCACTCTCTATATCCAGTGGTTCGCTAAACAAAGGGAGCAGACAGATAAACCAATACTTTCGTTTTCTAGAAAGATGTGAGTAGGCAAGTAGATCCAAAATCATCCCTGTGGATTATGTCATATAGTGCTGGTCTGTTCCTGTTTAGAATAATAGACTTGTGGTTTATAATTATATATAAAATGGACTCTTCCAACTTTATCTATATGAGAGAAATACTGGCAACATGTGTTGAGAGAAGGCAGAGGAGACAAATACCAATTGTACTTACTGCCGAGGCACAGAAGCATATTACTGTTAGTTTAAACTTGTATGCAATAATTATATTGTGTTAGGTTTTTTTTCCTCGCTTGATGCTGTTGGTATTTCTTCCCTTACATATGGTGTGTTGAAACTTGTAGTATCTGTGCTATCCAGCCATAAAACAGTTCAAGTATAGAATGTTGAATTCCACTTCCTCCCAAAAGTGGGTGCCACTACCACATTTTCTCATCAAGTGTCATGTAGCAAATAGGCCATATGTTCAGTGTCTCTAAAAAAAATCCACCTCCTCTATGATGGAGAATATGTGCCTTCACCAGTTTCTGGCAAATAATAAAATGTGTGTGTGTTGTCCAGCAGGGTTTTTCACTAAAGTGAGATTTAAATTGAATTTCAGGCCAAAATAGCCAAGCTGGAAAAATTAATCTATGCCGACAGTTCAGAGTTTGGATTTAAATTCAAAATTCTCTTTGAATTCACTTTGAATTCTCACTTTAGTAAATAGCCATGTTGATGTTAGATAAATACATAACTATATAATATAGAATGCACACTATGACAACTTCAAACAGTCGTGTTTCTGTCTTGTGGCTTGTAAGTATTTTTGGTATTGTACCAGTGTATTATTGTATTGCCTTTGCTTCTGTTATGGTATTTATTTTTTGTCTTATTTTTCAATATAGTACATTTTGTACATAATAAAGTCAGAGTATATTGACTGTTTGAAGTTGTCATAGTGTGCATTCTATATTATATAGATATTTGGATATTCAAACATTTAAGAGAGTGCATATATGGTTTTCACCTAGCTATTTAATACAATTGTGTCTCTCCATGTGTTTTTGGTTTTTAGATAAATACATAACTAACACAAGATAGAACAATAAAAGCAGTATTTGCCTAGTGTGAAGGTTTAAATAAGGTTATAAGTGGAACTGTCACTTTTATGTAAAATGAATAAAGCATTGGAAATGTCAGGTCGGGTTAGAGCTCGTCAGGGCTTTTAGATCATGGGCCCTTTAACCAGGACTGCCATCAGAAATTTTAGGGCCCCTGACACAGCTCAATATCTGGGCTCCCGGGGCCAGCCCCGAGTCCGTCCACAAGGATGAAGTGTGTGTGTGTGTGTGTGTGTGTGTGTATAGTGGATGTAGAATGTGTGTCATGGATGCAGTGTGTGTATAGTGGATGTAGGATGTGTGTAGTGGATGTGGTATGTGTGTCATGGATGCAGTGTGTATAGTGGATGTAGAATGTGTGTAGTGGATGTGGTATGTGTGTCATGGATGCAGTGTGTATTGCAGTGTGTATAGTGGATGTAGAATGTATGTTTTGTGTAATGTATGTAATGTTTGTATGCATGCATTAGATGCAGAGTGTGTGTGTGTAGTGAATGTTGGTGTGTATAGTGAATGCAGAGTGTATGTTTGTGTAGGGGATGTAGTGTGTGTACAGTGAATAGAGTGTGTGTTTTTGTAGTGGATGTAGTGTGTGTACAGTGAATGCAGAGTGTGTGTTTTTGTAGTGGATGTAGTGTGTACAGTGCATGTAGTGTGTTTGTAGTGAATGTAGTGTGGTTGTAGTGAGTGCAGAGTATATTTAGTGAATGTAGTGTGAGTAGTGCAGATTGTGTTTAGTGAATGTAGTGTGTGTGTGTAATGCAGAGTGTGTTTAGTGAATGTAGTGTGTGTGTGTGTAATGCAGAGTGTGTTTAGTGAATATAGTGTGTGTGTGTGTGTAGTGCAGAGTGTGTTTAGTGAATGTAGTGCAGAGTGTGTTCTTGTAAGGATGCAGTGTGTGTAAAATTGGGGGGAGGGGAGTATTTTTTTTAATTTAAAATTTGTGTGTATTTAAATTTTATTCCCCCCTCCCTGCTTCTTACCGTGCCAGGGAGGGGGGAGTTCGCATTGTGGAGGGAGCCAGCTGCGGTACATTGCAGAGAAGGGGCCCAGTAGCACACACTGTCTTCCTTTCCAGCTCCTCTCTGACGAACTCTCGCAAGACCGGCCTGCTTGCTGTGCGGAGCGTTGCCATCGTAATACGTGGCAACGCTCTGGCAGCCGTAGGAAAGTCACAGAGAGGAGCTGGAAAGGAGGTCCGAGTGTGCTTCTGGGCCCCCCAGTGTGCTGCTGGGCCCCCTTCTGCATGTACAGGTAGCAGGAGGCCCTCAGTGCACATATATATAGTGAAAGTCGCTATGTATATGTGCACATAAGGAATGTGGGGCTCGGACTGCCAGAGTAGTCCGGGCGCCCCAGGACCGCCGGGCCCATGACAACCATTATGGTTGTCATGCCCTGATGGCGGCCCTGCCTTTAATAGCACACCGAACCTGGCCCCTGTCAAATTGTTAGTTTCCCCCCAGGGCCTGCTGGGAGGAAGTGAGTTCACGCCACTTCCTCCCAGTTTGCTGAGAGCTGTGCAGGGAGGCAGGAGCAAGCACACACACAGGAGGAAAGCTTGGAACCTCAGACTCCTATCAGCAGTTGCCAGCCAGCTTCCACTGGACCCCATAAAGCCGCCCTCCCTCACTCAAAAAGGTAAGGAAGCAGAGGGCTGACCAAAACTTACTTTTTGTCCTATAACTAATTGCCTATAACCTCTTATCCAGCACCAGTAATTTACTCAATATACCACAATACAAGAAGAATGTGGCTCGGTCCTCACTTTTCTACAGAGCACCGCAATTATGGGATAACATCATGGACACAATCAAATCCAAATCCAGTCTAAACTCATTTAAGCAATCTCTGTCAACATATCTCAAAACAGAATGCACCTGTAATAATGGTCGACTATATTTCTTACCTGTTCTACGTTAAATTTATATATGTGTATTATAAGATTATTTTGTAATTTTAATATTATATTGTACTGTATTGTAACAATGGAATGTTTGTGAGATCAGGACATATTGAAAATGAGAATAATCTCTATGTATCCTTCCTGGTAAAATATTTCATTAAAAACAATTATTATTTAATGTGTGTGTCTGTGTGTATGTAGACCTGTCTGTGTATATATGTCATAATTACTTACCTTACTCCCAGGTGCCTACGTGGAGAGACGCCTGAAGTTCACTCACCTTCTCAGATGTCTGACAATTCCGACGGTGGACACTTTGGTTACACTCCTTTTTATGACGTAACACATATGTATCGATATTATTACTTAAATTATGCAAATTCACTTCATTTCCACCACCCCTTAATGCTTTAGGGGCATGCGTTTACAGCAAAAGGCGCTCACCTATAAATAGAGTGTCTTTCGAGTCTTTTGTACCCTATTGTGGTTCATTATTTATTTATAAAATATTTTACGAGGAAAGATACATTGAGATGTCTCTCGTTTTCAAGTATGTCCTGGGTCCACAAAACATTGCATTCATACAATAGGGTACAATAAAATACAAAAACAATATTAATACACAATAAATACAAAATTAGGAAATATAATATCAACCATAACACATGCATTCTGTTTTGAGTTATGTAGAGAGGGATCTCTTAAAGGACTTTAGGCTTGGGGAAGATTTGAAAGTGGGCGTGGGGTTGTTCCATAATTGTGGTGCTCTGTAGGAAAAGGAGGATCGAGCTGCTTTCTTTTTGTATTGAGGTAGACTTAAATATCACTATAGTGTCCGGAAAACAAAGTGGTTTTCCTGACACTATAGTGCCCTGAGGGTTCCCCCACCCTCGGGGTCGACCTCCCGTGGCACTGAAGGGGTTAAAACCCCTTCAGCAGCTTACCTTAATCGAGCGCCAGGCTCCCTCAGCGCTGGTGACCTCTCCTCCCCGCCGATGTCAGCTCCCGAGTGGAGTGGAATGCGTATGCCTTTCTCAATGCTTTCCTATGGACGTTCTGCACGTTGGATGCAAATTTCAGGAAGACAGACACTAGAGTTTGGATTAACCCCTAATGTAAACATAGCTATGTTTACATGTGAAGGGTTAAAACCTGAGGGACCTGGCACCCAGACCACTTCATTGAGCTGAAGTCTTGGTGACTATAGTGTCCCTTTAATAAAGTGCTGGTACTGGATCTCAGATTACATCAGGTAGGAACAGCCCGGTGAGCATTCTTTTCCCAGAAAAGCTCTCAAACACAACGCTGGAAAGATAAAGGGTGCGTCTGGATTCCAGCGACAGCCAGTTTAGTTCTTTTAGCATGTCACAATGGTGGGTCCTGTAATTATATTGTAGCACAAATCAGCAGAACGAGTTATACAATGTATTAAGTTTATTAAGGTGGGTTTGTGGTGCAGGTGCCTATACTACATCCCCATAATCAATGATTGGCATCAGTATTTGCTGTACAATCTTTTCCTTTATTGTAGGGCTTAGACAGGATTTGTTTCTGTACAGGGCACCTAGTTTTGGAAAAAAGTGTAGATGCAAGTTTTTCTATGTGGAGGCCAAAAGATAGATTGGGGTCTAACAACATTCCCAATATTTGTCCGAGAATGGAACCTTGGAGAACACCACACGTGACTGGGAGAGGGAGGG